ATGTAGACCCGGTCAAAAATATTTTGTAATCTTCTTTAAGGTTTTCATAAAGAGAATGGAAAAGCACAAAGTTTAAATTTTGTGGTGTTAGAACGCTTTGTTCTTTTTTTTTATTATTTGTCTTAGGTGTTGAAGGAATTGTTAAAGAGTCCGTGGCTAACGCAGCAACACCCGGTTTTGTTTTCTTGGCTAGTTTTAATGAATCTCGACGACTGCTTGTTCTCCTACTGTTTCATTTTCTTCTTATTTGTTTAGTTGTCTATTTTTACTAAAATTTGTTAGGGTTTCTTGCTTTAAAGCAACATGCGAAAAATTATAAGTAGCTAAATAGCTGTTAAGATTTGAAGAATCAAAAAATTTCAAATTTCCAACGCTCAAAGATGGGTTTTGGAACAGAGGCCTGACTTTATTCTAATTAGCTTGTGCTGAACCTTTGATTTAGGGTTCTGAACTTTGGTAAGCGGCCGACTAGAATTAACGAGAACAGCGTACTTTCGCATGTATACCTGGCTAGGTGTAATTTAAGACCAGAAAAGTTTTTGCTTTTAGGCTTTATAAAAGTAAGGTATTTTTATGACTTCATTATTAAGACTCTCTGAACATCATTTTTTTTTCGGTAGTGATCTTTTTTTTTGCTAATTACAAGGTGGGACATATTTATTCTGCACACAATTATTCAAATATCAATCAGTGTTATATTTTACTGTGTGTACAAATATAGGAAATAAAGAAAAGTCCTTAGTTTCAACTTCCCCTTGAAATTATTAAAATTCATCTTCATCTTCCATAGCTGATGAGTCTTTGCTTACCTGAAAAGAAGGAAACCTGAATGAAAGTGACATAGGTTAAAGCAAAATTATAGTATTATTTTTCTCAGTGCTCACTCTCTTTTATATTAAGCTCTGAACTTTAGCTTTGAATGAAGTTGTGCTCAAATTTGCCTTTTTGCTATCATTTACTTGAATAACCGGGTCTCCTTAGCTATTTTTGGTTTTACACGTCCGTGCTTTAGCCATAAGCTACTTACTTCTTCATAGTCCCTTTCCAAAGCAGCTAAGTCTTCACGGGCTTCAGTAAATTCCCCTTCCTCCATACCTAAAATATTTTTTTCTTTTAATTGCTGAATTTTTTTTCATCCTTCCAATACATTTTGAAGCTGTTTGGAAACATCACACTGTTATATGATAAGAAAGCAGAAGAATTTTCTTACCTTCGCCGACATACCAGTGGACAAACGCTCGTTTAGAGTACATCAGGTCAAACTTATGATCAAGTCGTGCCCAAGCTTCGGCAATTGCTGTTGTGTTTGAAAGCATGCATACTGCACGATGGACCTGTAGTGATGTTAATAATATTAAGAAGCATTACTTCTGATAAGTAGTTGTTGAGATAACTAAACTTATAACCTTAGCTAAATCACCCCCTGCGACAGATGTTGGCGGCTGGTAGTTGATACCAACTTTGAATCCGGTGGGACACCTATAAGCACGTCGTTTTCAAAAGTCTCATGAAATACTAATGCAAAATGAAGCGAACCAGTCTACAAATTGAATTCCACGTTTTGTTTTCACTGTTGCAATTGCAGCATTAACATCTTTTGGAACGACGTCTCCCCTGTATAGCAAACAAACCGCCTGTAACATTCGCATCCAAGTAATTATCTTTAGTTTGACCAGTTATATCATTAAAGTACGAAACGGCGCGTGAACTGATGTTTACAGTTTGTAAAAATGTATTTCAAAATGCATGGGTATCAAACCATGTACTTTCCCCTTCTCGGATCGCATTTTACCATCTGGTTGTATGGCTCAAAACACATTGCAGTAATGTCGGCGACACTAAGCTGTTCATGATAAGCTTTTTCTGCTGAAATAACTGGAGCGTATGTGGCTAACGGGAAGTGGATACGTGGATAAGGTACCAGGTTAGTCTAAACCATCACTTTAATTTTTCAATTTGTTGTTTTGACTTTTACAATTCTTTATCGTTTTTTATCGTTGTCACTTCGGTAACTAGAAAGATTATTGATCTCTGGTATAAAAGGCGTCAAAAGTTCGATGTAATTTACAGTTGACGATATAGCTGCGTAAATCGACAAATGCACAATCTGTAAGTCTGTACTTGAAATTCTGTGAGATCAACATTCAATGCACCATCGAAACGCAAGGAGGCGGTAATCGAGGAAACGACCTGAGCGATCAGCCTGTTTAGATTCACATACGACGGTCGCTGAAGAATAATTGTCCAATAAGTAAACAGAAGAAGAAGGACTTTTTAAACTTAACATCAATTTTCTACTCATTTTCGTTTCCCATGGTTCAATAAAATATAAAATTGCCTCTAACCTCGATGTCTAAATTTCGACGACATATGTCATAAATGGCTTCGTTATCAACCATAAACGAACAATCTGAATGCTCTAGGGTAGTGTGAGTAGTGAGGATTGAATTATACGGTTCTACGACAGCAGTTGAGACTTGCGGAGCTGGATAAACACTAAACGATGGTTTAATATGAATTTGTAACTATAAGATTGGTGACTGCCAAAAGGTTACTGGAGGAAGAAGCAGGAAGATGGGTATCAGCTGTCAAAAAGTCTACCTAAATTCAAGTTTAGATTTTTTTCCGTATTCAACAGAAAGTCGCTCCATCAAAAGTGAGGTGAAACCGGAACCTGTACCACCACCAAAGCTATGGAACACTAGGAAACCCTGAAGTCCCATGCATGGTTCCGTCTAAACATCGTTTAATTCTTTTTTGCAGAAGTCAGTTTTTTTTTAGATTCAAGAACATTGCTCTCATCTTATATTCCCAGAACTTTTGGCTCACCTGTCGCCTGATCTTTTCTAACACTTGATCAATCAGCTCTTTGCCGATAGTGTAATGTCCGCGAGCATAGTTGTTGGCGGCATCTTCCTTACCACTTATTAGTTGTTCCGGATGGAAAAGCTGTTTAAATTCACCGGACCGAATTTCGTCTAAATACAGCTCTTTTCTTCTTCATGGTAAATAATGCTTTAAAATGAGTCTTTAATTAGCTGAAATTTTGTTGTTTATTCAGGAAAAAATTCTAGACAGCTGTTTTAGCAGATTTTTATATAAATTTATCAGATTTACACCTAATAAGCGTTGGCGTAATTGAGAAGGTTATATGTAAGATGTTTTAGAAACCTAAAACTGTTGGTTCCAGATCGATGTAGATGGCACGTGGTACGTACTTTCCACCAGACGATTCAGAAAAAAACGTTGATACTGACTGCAAAATTCAGTTACATTGTGTTTCAGTGTTTGCCAAATGGAATCAGATTTTGGTTGTCGCTCATCGACTAGGAATTAAACTAAATTTGCATCTTACTTGACCATCAGTTTTTTTCTGTACATCCGGATCCGGAATCAACTTTCCATCCTTAGAAATACTGTGCTCCAAGCAGTACAGCTCCCAACAAGCGTTCCCAATCTGGGCGCCAGCTTGTCCTATGTGAATCGAAATGCATTCTCTCTGCAAAATTCTTATTTTAAATATTATTCTGTTTGAACTTGTCGTTTAAAATGTCATTAATGTGTAAAAATTATTATCTTTTTGTTGCACCATACTTGCTATTGGATAAATAAATATTTTACTGATATTCAAAACCTATTTTATTATCTTATGATTAAAACGTCTTTTTTATTTTTATTTTTTTTTTGGTAAATCTATCATCCATAGATGGTTGCTTCAATAAAAGTATACTGGAGGAAATTATACTTCTTTTTTTGTTGATCACTAATTTTTACAAGTACTGAGAGTGAAAATAATAATAATTTTTTCCCGCAGTAGTAAAATAATGTTTCTGCTCAGAAATGAATATCATTTTATAGTTAACAGCAGACTTCTAAATATTAAGTTTGAAAAAGCAGCATATTTTAAAACTTATAAAAACTGGTTGATCTGTCTTTTTGCTTAATTGAATTTTTTATCAAACATTTGTTTGAGGAATTCACTTTTCTTTTTTAAGATAGAAGAACTTCGTAGCGTTTTTGTTCAAACTCTCATCAAGAAGTTCTCAGAAGTAAAACTTAGCTCTGCAAAGTTAATAATCACTGATTATCGATATGTTACAATAACCAATTGCTGAAACTATAGTATTTTTTAGAATTCTAACAATTCTTGAATAAGAATTCATTTGTGGAAACTTGCTACATATTACAGTTATATCAAGAACTAATGATTTAAAAAAGCGGTATATAATTTACTGGATATTTTTATACTGATTTGTTGGATTGGTTTTTTAGGGACCATTCAGTTAAAGTTGCAATATCATCATTTAGAGCCGAGCTGTTATCTGAGTAAATTGTACGAAAGTGAGACGTGTATACAGTTATATTGGCTAAACTCAAAATAGAAATTTTTAAGTACAGTGTCAATGAATAATAAACAAGTAAATTTTAGATGGAATAACTGCTGCAAAAAAAATTTTTGGTTAACTGTTATTTTCTTTTATTGAGTTCCTTATTTTTTTGAAATTCGTTATCAAAATATTTTTTATGACTTTCTACTGTTATATTTACCAGTTTGCAAAAAAAGGCATTTTTTTGAGACAGGAAAAAACGGATGGATTCTTCTAAGTGCTAAAGAAAAAGCATTACTGGAGATGCTAATGTAGCTGTGATCGATGTAACATCTTAGTCAAAGTATTAATTTAGAGTAATAAGTTCACAAAATTGTCTTTTACGACGGATTAAGGACAATTTTGCTTCAGAAGAAACTAATGTAACACGAATAGGAATTCTGGACTTTTTTCTTTTGTTTATCTTAGCTTTTACAGTCATTTGGATGGAAAATGATAGAACTGGTGAGCTAAGTGGAGTGATGGAATAACCAAAATTTGACATTTTCTATAAAATTATTGAAAAGACAAAGGAAAAAAAAGAAGGCTCCAAAGTAACAGTTCAAATGTTACCCCTTCAGTAGGCATTATAATCGACAACTTTAGTCAACTAATTATGTAGTAGCCGCAGCAGAACCAACAGCAACGGTCACCAGTTGAACCAGCGTGAGAGCAAGAGAACGGTATCTGAAGCAAAGATCAGTTAGCGTGTAAGACTAAACACTGATTTAAGACTTAGGCAGCATTAACGAGCAAAACGACTGGTTCAGCAGCAGTAGCAGCAATAACAACAAAAAGAAAACCGAAACTCTCTTTTCTTTAGTTATTTATTTATTCGTCTATTTACTTCTTTTTTTTT